GGATGAGCATAATACCTTTTTCTGTAACAAATAGTTTTTAACTTGTAACACGCTAATGAAGTATGGCAATGCTTAAGCAGGCTCCAGGTGCAGGTCCGGGGAATATGGCCCGTAGTAGATCATTGCTAATGAGGTCTGATAGATTTGCAGGGCCACTCGACTCGAGAGACAAATCGTTATAAAAAATTAAACGAGATGGCTGAACATAGGGTGCAGCGACGATGCCAATTTCGCGAAATATGTGACCGAACTTGAGGATGACTATGTTCTTAACCTTCCCGAGCATGACTTGAGGCTACCACTTCATCATCTGGTCGCAGCTATAAAACCTGCACCGAGCCTCGCTCGCCCAATGTCTACATCCTGAACTCTGCCTCGCGCTGTCCAATTCAAAAGCGATTTCTCCATATTCTCGGCCTTGAGTTTGGACAGTATTGTTGGAGGGTATGGGGTCCTTGAGGAGCTGGGTGAGCTGAGCAAGCTCTACAGTCATTAATCACTGTGTTTTGCCTTCGCTGTGTTTTTGTTGATATCAAATTGAGGCATGAGACTTCGATAGATGTTCCAGGAGGGAGTAGGAGGAGGACGAGGGTGTTGCGTGCAGGTACCAATTCCGAGGTAACCAACTTGGCAGGTTCAAGAGCCATGATAGCACAGCATGCTTTCATCAATCAATCAATGTAATAATAATAGGGGGTTCCAAACTTTGACAGATATCGCGGCGCGTTTGTGACCAAAACGCGATTTCAAAACACGCCAAAATATTCAGCCTAACACGCCTGTGACTTTTACCATTCAAAAAATGATGGGCCGGAACAAGATGAGCGAAGCTAACCACCAACCCGATCCCATGCCATTCAAATTAGAACGCTAACAGTTACTATCCCACCTGGAGCAGCTCATCATTCTCACGATCCTCAACGATGAGGATGAAGGAACAGAGGATGCAATCGTGCTGTACCACCTTGTTGATGGGGGTCGATGGCGGAGGGGGAGGAGAAGAAGGTGGAGATTTGTCGTGCACGCGGATACTGGGTGTGGGCAAATGCGCCGCAGAGACGAATGAAGTCCGCCATAGTGACTAGGTTTGAAAGGACGGGTTATATGGCGCGTTCATGTTTGGCTAATGGGTACGCGTTTGATTTTGCGAACGTCAAGGTTTGAAGCCCCCTAATATGATTCCATGCGGCGCCTGTGGATCAAAGAAGAAGTGTTTTATTCGACGGGGATGATGGAGGTCGGGGGTCGTCCAGTTTCTTAGTAGCCAAAAAAAGAAGCGCTCGCGTGCTGGGGTTCATGAACCTTTTTTTTTTTTTCTTGGTTGTGGCACAGGACAGCGAATCAAATGCGGTGGTTGCAGCACGACCTTGAACGCGTTCAATTGAATTATACTTTACTGCATTCCCAGCACCAGTTCGCTGGTTTGTTGTGCGCTAGATTGGGCCTTCAAATGACCCCACGTGGGGCGCTTTTATTTTTTTGTAGCCACTCCAGAACTGGCTAGTCTAACTGGCTGTCTGTTCGTTCTTTTGCCACACGACCTTCCTTTTCGCGCATAAAATGGATTGACCATGGCAACGCACATCTTTGCTTTACTTGCCTTAGGTGTATATACTCCTCGAGCATGACAAAGAACTAGACTCTGCGTGCTGTGTGGTCCAATTGGTCGTCGGTGTCGCTTGCAATCACGTTTTGAACAGTTTTCTCTTTTTTTGGTTCTGGTTGGTTGGTTGGCCCATCCTCGTTGTCATTTCAAATATCATTTCACCACCGATACTCACCCTCACCCCCACTTTCACTTCCACTCTCACTCTCACTTTCATCCATTTCCTCGCTGTATCTTTGATATTCTCGTCCATACTCTTCATTCTCACCTTTACACCCATTCCCCCGTCTTCACACAGCGTTCTCACTCTTTACTTCCTTCGCTTCAGTACAGCACAGCACAACTTTCAAGGCACACAGAAACACCATCTTTATTTTCTTTCCCTGAACCGGTTTACTTCTGCATCCTTTGTCTCTCCTCATAAGCGATGGGACCTTCGGATAACCACTCTTCTGCACCAAACTCCTCTCTTTCTCACCGCCAATCCATCGCATCATTCTCCTCACCGAACTACTCGTTTTGTAATTCTTCGTCTTTGTTTTCAGCCCCTTCTCAATCCTCTTTCCACCATCCGCTCACTCCGGATCCCTCTCCAAGCATGGACCCGCAGGATCCAAAGACGGCCAAACTCGTCGCTCTTCAGGACAGGGATGTCCCGGTACCGCTCTCGTCCAGCCCTGGATTGAAATCAAAACTCGGTGCTACTCTCTCCACTGCTCCCCTCTCCCTGGCCGCTCCATCCTTAACCCCCATGCCATCCTTATCGGCGCCATCACCATTATCATCGTCCTCTTCGCCCTCCAGCATAGGCGCTAGGCCTTCTCATACCCTTTATTCGAACGCAACTCCTCCAATGTCTCCTTCGCACACCTTCCTATCACCTACATCCCAGCCTTGCCACGGTAGTTCAGACCCTAATCATTATTCTACCGCATTTTATCAACTTCCTCCTCCTCTGCAATCCCCTCGGGCTCATGATTCGTCATGTCGGTCGCCGACAATGGCGTCGCAACAGTTTCAGCACATAGTTCAGAACGGAGGGCCAGTGTCGCTGCCGCCTCCAAAATCATCCCAACCTGTGGGCTACAGCGGCGTGTCGCCAAGATCGAATCCCCAACAGTCGCCCCATATGCACCCTCCGTTAACTTCATCATCCATTGGCCCCCTCTCTCCATATCCAACACCACAGCACCGTCCTCAGCATCATTCGAGCCCGCACCAGTCGCCTAGATATGATGCTAATCAGCACAAGCAACCGGTTCCTCCTAGTATGAGCCTCCCCGCATCCTCGCTTTCGTCCACATCTGTGTTTCAGGCCATGCCGCCACGCGCGTACCCGGGATCATATCCCGCTGGACAGCCGATCAAAAGCCCCGCATCTCATGGAACGCATCTGAAAAGCCCACGAATCAGTGCAACTCAGCGCTCTACGCCCAACTCGCCACAGCGATTCATGATGCTCCCGCCACAGACGGCCCCAACGATGGCCTCTGCGCGCCTAGCTAGTGCTCAAGCCAAATCTAGCAGCAGCAACGCAGCCACGAAGCGCCGATCATCCTCGAATGCCAAGGCCGTGGACCAAGAGACGCGTGAGATAATGAGAAAAGTGTCACACTCGGCAATCGAGAGAAGACGACGCGAGAGGATCAACGATAAGATCCTTCAGCTGAAGCATTTGGTCCCCGCGTGTGTGGACGAGGATCACCTGCACAAGTTGTCCATTCTGCAGAGCACAATCGAATATGTCCAATATCTCAAGTCGGTCATTCCCGAGTCTGTTGCGAATGCAAAGTTTCAAAAGGCGACCAACAACAACCCCAACAATAAGACAACAGACATGCTAGACGCTCTCGGTGTTAGCGGCAGCTCGACAATGTTTTTTGCACCGATGATGACGACTGGGCTCGGGCACCCTTACTCTAAACGTGCCAGGACAGAGCAGACGCTTGGCCCGACATGCGATTTAACTGCTTATTCATCTCGTACAGACTCCCCCATGTTAATCACAGGCCCAGAGGATAGAAGACGTGTAACTGGGGTCCAATCTTCCTCGGATGAGGATGCCAAAGATGGTCTTCTACTCTTATCACAGATTTCTTCTGGAGCCGTATCCGTCAACGTATCTCCAAATCTTAAGTCAACACAGGGTGCGAATCAAGAAGAACCTCGTTACGACAATTCAGAACAAGGATCGAGGAAGAGGAGGTTTTTGGAGGATGAGGGCGAGGACGAGGACGAGGACGAGGAAGAAGAGGAAGCGGATGAGGAGGAGGACGAGCCTTTCCGGGATGGCCCTGACGAGACCAACGAGCTCGATGATGTGGACTATCAGGATGATGGTACGGTGGAAGAGGACGAGATTGAGGATAGAGACGGAGGGGAGGCAGCGACGCGTCGCAGCAGTAGCAGCAAAATGAGCGTCGACAGGTTACTTGTCGATTGAACTAGTTATCCTAAAACCCTTATTTGCGTACGATGTTGACGTACCCTGCAATTATCGCTGGAAATAAAGAAAATATACTTCTCTCTTCCGGTTCATTCGTCCCGTCTCTCCCCCCATCCTCCCTCCACTCACTCACAATCACCCTCCCCACTCTTTTCCCTCTTTAGTAATCTTCGTCATGGCTCCCGTCAACGACACCACTCCCGGCCCCAGTCCCCTCAGCGACATCAAGAACCTGCTCAAGCAATTGCACGAGAAGGTCGACCGGCTCGAGGCCAAGGTCGAAGCCCAGGTTGCCGGCAAGGAGCAGCCCAAGCACCTTCGCATGATCTTGATCGGACCCCCTGGTGCTGGTAAGATCCTTTTTTCGATCCCTTTGCTTTCTTCACTCTTTTGTTGACATACCTACAGGACAGCTCTCACCAGATCACGCCCACCCTTGCCAGCCTACAATCTACTTTATAACACTTCAGTATTGATCAGGATAATCAAAGCAGAATCGATCAGATCAGGATCGCGACTTTGCTCAAAGGATCAGGATCCAGTGCCCAAAAGCCATTGAGACAACATAAAAAGGAGATAATAATCTTCATTGAGCTCGACTCACTGGACTATAAGGATGTGGTATGACAGAGAGGAAAGAGATGACAGTTAGCGGGGGTAGGAAGAAGGAAAACATGAGAGAAAGGGTGCCAACGAGTACCCAGGCGCCGGCCTCTGTCTCGGTGCTGGATTCACAGTCAATCAATTTGGTAGCACCCGTGTCCGCAGAGTAATTGAAACCGATGATCGTTGGGTTGGGCTTGGTCTGATCGCGGCGACGATAGGGATAGGGATAGTGATAGAGGGCGATAACGATTGAGCTCTAAATCTTTGTGAGCGATCAAATTGGATTGAAGGCCGAATCCACTGCGTGATAATGGGCAGTCCTTTGGATCTATGAAACCGCATATGTCGATGCACATGCTGAGGATATGTCAGCACAAACATTCTCCTCTTTTTCTTCTCAGCTGCTACATACTGTCCGGCCTCCGGTTCTTTGCTCTTCCCGCACGTACTTGCCGATCAGCCATTGACGTCACTCTCTCTGTCTCTTCGTTGATGCTCTTATTTTAGGCAAGGGTACTCAAGCTCCTAAGATCAAGGAGAAGTACTGTGTCTGCCATTTGGCCACTGGTGACATGCTCCGTGCTGCCATCTCCAACAAGACCAAGGTCGGTTTGGAGGCCAAGAAGGTCATGGATGCCGGTGGATTGGTCAGCGACGAGATCATGGTCGACATGATCCAGGACAACTTGGAGAACAACAAGGAGTGCAAGAACGGGTACGTTGGGTTATTTTTATTGGTAAAAGTTGATGCTATTGAATGTATCCAAGTATACCATGCTGACTATTTATACTTATCTTTGTGGAATAGATTCATTCTTGATGGTTTCCCCCGCACTGTTGTCCAGGCCGAGAAATTGGATGCCATGTTGGAAAACAAGCATCAGCATTTGGACACTGTGGTCGAGTTGGCCATCGATGACAACTTGTTGGTCTCGCGTATCACCGGTCGCTTGATCCACGTTCCCTCGGGCCGCTCGTACCACAAGGAGTTTGCTCCTCCCAAGGTCCCCATGAAGGACGACATTACTGGCGAGGCTCTTGTCCAGCGCTCCGACGACAATGCCGAGGCACTCAAGAAGCGCCTGGTGACCTACCACAAGCAGACCGTCCCTGTTGTGGAGTACTATAAGAAGAAGGGTCTCTGGTCCCAGGTCGATGCTGCTCAGGACCCCAAACTGGTCTGGTCCAGCATGTTGGCCATCTTTAGCAAGGCCATCTAAGCACGTTTCCGTGTATGATTTCCACTCAATGCCGATATGACCACGGTCGACGGAACGTGATGACTCGTAGATTTTTTTTCTTTCTTCCCTTCCCTACTCTTAATTATCTCTTCCTTTCACATTACGCATTATTAAAAACAGGAGGAATAATTGTTGCAAAGTACTTTCGCTATCTCTTATTGCTGAGGAGTTAGTTCGGGCGATGATGATGTTTTTATGTTTGTACTTTATGATGCTTGTACTGCGTTAGACCGATTTGATCCACAGGTTAGATAAAGGGGATAAATGGTGACTTGTTTGCCACCAACTTATATATTTTGTCTGTTTTAACCATGCAAGATCAATCCACCACCGACATAGCGATGCATCATGCTATGGACACAGCCTTCCCACCATCACCTCAGTGGTATCAACCCCAGTCGGCATGTCTCTGCTACCTCTCCGAGAATACTGGTTGGCTTCTATATTCGCTCAACAATGCGGTCCATATCCTGAACCCGTTCACGCTCAAGTATAATGGTGCCCTGCAGGGTGGCCACAGCGCCAGAGTCAACGCCATCGCCGCTCGACCTGCAACTCCTTTTTGTTCAACAGAGCAAGAGCCAGTCCAATACGCGGAGAACCTCGGACAGGATTCTTGGGCGGATCAGAAGGAATCTCCAGAGCCGAGGAGAGTCCTTGTAGCAACAGCCGGAGAAGACTCCACGGTGGTGTGCTGGGATGTCGCGACGCGTAGAGCTCTTGCCTCGCTGAAAAAAACGCATACAGTACGGTATTGTTGTAAAAATATATACGGCCATGATATTTTTGTCCACTTTTCGCTTGAGATATATGTAAATTTTAACAGACAGAGGCCAACTTCCGCTCATGGATATGTCTTTTAGAAAGGCGTCAAAGTTGTCGAATGGACAAGTGATGGTCGCTACATTGTCTCTGGTTAGTACTCAAGTTAATTTGGCATCGAAATGAGACAGGTTGTCGTTATTCCTGTACTCTATTAACAAAGTAAAACTGTCTTTTAATGTGGAAATTAGGTGACAGTGCAGGAGTGGTTGCAGTCTGGTCTCCTTTTGATGGCAAGATGAACAGGAAGACGCTCCCGGAAAAGCCCGGTATATGCTGTATGAGCGCAAGCCCTACATGCCCTGACACGGTCGCCATAGGGTAAAGAAAATTGGTGGATGTACAAATTGCGTCTAATTGTAACGCATCGATTCTTTGCTGACGTCTCCCTTATTTTTATTCTTTGCGCTATACTAGACTTGAAGGCGGCGACATCCTTATTTGCCAAGTCAATCTGACCTACATTGTTGTATTGCGCCGGCTGAATGGCCATACGAGTAAGATCCACAGCATGTCTTGGCAGCAACCATCAGGTGAGTGGCCAACGAATGAATGACCCGAATATAATATGAAAAAATATCACAGCCATAACTGACTGAACAAGCCGTGGCTGTTTTGCCCCAAATTAGCAATGCAGGATCAGGGCTACACTCTTTTGGCTTCTGGGGCAGCGGACCAAACAATCAGGATATGGGATGTCGAGAAAGAAGCTACCGCCTATGTTTTCCCAATGCCTGAGGTCGATCACAAGTTATCACCACAGCAGCGATCCAAACTCTGGGTGCCTGTCGGTTGGGTGTCAAAGGGTCGGGATATCATCTCGTGCACTAGTCGGTATGTGCAAGTCTTTTTTATTTTTATTTCTTATTTTATTTTATTTTTTATTTTCTATTCTGTTGCCCTATCAGAAACTTAACATGTTGACGAACTATTGCCTCTACCCCTTCTTCACGTTTTTTAGAGGCACCATGGTTCGATGGTCGCTATATCGAAACATCGGGAAGTCAACAAAGATAACGCGAGGGAACATTCATAGCCGCGTTGTTTTTCAAATCATGGTGTGGTCCTTAGGAAGCTTCGCGTTCACTATCTCCCAAGACCGGAAGATCATTGCTTGGGATACTGAGAGCAACCAGGGGATTGCACAGATCGAGTGTGTTGGAGGGAGCATTTATGCGTTGGATATCAGCCAACGGGATCCAGGAAAGATTGCCATGGGTCTCGGATGCGATACAATCAAGGTCTGGAATACCCTCAGCCAGGAAGAGCCCTATGAGAGCGTTATGGTAGAGCGGATGCAGAGTAAAGTTCGTACAGTGAAGTGGCACCCGGTCGAGGAAGGGACGCTCTGTTTCGGTCTTGAAAGCGGCAAAATTGGCATGGTGGAGAACATCTATGGCCCTAACCCATTTGGAAATGGCCAGCACGAGAAGCAGGGGAAGAAGGGAAAGCAGGGGAAGCAGGACATAGGTAAGGTTTGCCAAAAGATGACAACCTTCCAATCCTATCACGAAGGTGCTATCACGTCCATCGCGTGGTGTAGTCCCAAGGCGTTTGAAGCCCCAGTTCCTGAACTTTTCGATCTCTCCCTTCGCGACTCTTCCTTCTGCATCGTTTCATGTGGCAGCGATGGCAAGATCCTGATCAGCGATTCCACAAAGCCTACGAACAAGAGCCTCGATCTCAAGGTGGTTCTTCAGCGGCAGAACTCGGCTTGGTATCAATCGTATAGTGCCATCAAGGGTCTCGAGGCGCCATGGAGACGCGACTTTGCCATCCATCCGAATGAGGATCTGATAGCCATTGGTAATGGCGACGGATCGGTTGAAGTCTTTGAACTGAAGCATTTCAAGCTGGTTTACGTTTTTCAAGGACATACGAAGCGGGTTAATCGTGTCAAGTGGGAGTGTTCAGTGGCCGGCGCAGGCGACGGCTCAACTGAGAGTAAGTCTGGATTCTATCTCCTTGCCAGCGGATCAGATGATGGCTCTGTGGTTGTTCATAAGCTGGATCACTATTCGGCAGCAGCGCTTGCGGAGAAACGGAAACGGACGAGTCATCCGGTGTCAGATCATACAGGAATAGCAACGAGCTCTTCACCAATGATGGTCGATACGAATTTCGTTCTGCCGACAACGCAAGCATTTGCCATCTTTCGCTGCCATAACAGAGGTATTTCGGACCTGACGTGGTCACCTCACGGATACGGCTCAGGTTCTGATTTAGCACGATTTCGACACCTCGTATCGGCATCATACGACGGCAAGGCGATAGTGTACCAGATCCAGTTGGATGATGTGATCAGAGATGGTCATCAGCTCCGTCAGATTGAAGAAGGAGAAGCTTCGAACGGGACAGAGGCGACGCGCGATCTGTCCTCACAGGTGGAGCATAAAGTGGTTGCCTGCTTCAGCGGCCATGTCAGCGGCCAGATCCTTTCAGTACACTGGAGCATGACCGAGATCGATCAGATTTACAGTGGAGGTCAGGATTGGCGGCTCTGTGTCTGGGATTGGAGGTCCCATCCGTTTTCCGATAGACAGCTGTCCAAAGAGCCGTTGACAACACACAAAGGAGCACTCAAGGATGTTGCCGCCTCGTCTTCCCAAGACTCTGAAGCGGCGAGGGTGAAGGGAGCGAATCAAAGTGGGGCTATCGTGGAGCCGGACGATTTGCTGAAGCCGGAAACACAGTTAGGGCAGGAACAGAAACAGATGAACACTCCTTCGAGTATGGGCACTGTGAAACAGGATGATAGGACTATGGAGGATGTTGAGAGTGTGCCACGGCCACCGAAGAGAGAGAGCGATACCAGCTTGTGGCCCGAGGCTACTGTCTCTAAGCGCACACGGACAAAGCCTAAAAGCGTCATCTCTTCTGTAGCTCTGCAACCGCCCAGGAAATTTGCCTCTGAAACGGACACCGAGCTCGTCAACCTGTTCCCGGCAAGTGCGACTGCCTTTCAATTTAACTCCAAGGAAAAGGTTCATCTGGAAATCATACGGCTGGCGCGCAACCTCTACTGTCGACGAGTTGGACAGGGTGGCTGTCTAGAGCGAGAGGAGGAGGTCGAGGCAGCAAGAATCCGATGGCTCGCAATGCTAGGATTCTTTGAGAAGGATGGAGAGAAGCAGGGTGTGGCACTGTCGCACATTTTAGGTAGCGATGTTGATGAGATGAATCTTGGAGACAAGGATGAGAAAGGCCAAGAGGACCAAGGTGAACATGTTAATCAGAGCAGAAAGGACTCACATCTTGTATCGAAGACACAGGGCGTCACAGCATCGTGTGGTGCTTCTGAAGGGAGCAACCTAGGATACTTGGCCGTGGACCACCATTCATCAGATACCACCTCACTTAAAACGAATGCGCGGTCCCAGGTACCAGAGGCATGGCAGGGAGACGACTGTACGGCATCAAGTTGTGACCTGGTATTTTATGGCTCACGGGAATCGATAAAAGCACTGGCGGAGATGGAGACAGAGGAGCTGGCCAAGAAACAATCACAACGTGGCACCTCAATCTTTAGGGTCGGCGGAGGCCTAGGTGTTCTTCCTTTGGAGAAAAACAGTAGTACCCCACCATCTCAGGCAAGTTTAGGAAGTATTGGTCAGCTCAGTCAGATCCCGGTCTCGTACTGGCTGGGCGATGTACCCAAAGTGGCGGACATTCTGGACTCTCTTCCTGACTCTGAGCTCGGGATTCAGGACTGGATTGGGATTGCGCTCTCGCCGATGGGAGGCGCTGGTGCTTGGCGCTATATGATGACCAGGACGGCGGCTAAGTTTGCAGAGCGAGGGGAGGTTCATGCCGCAGCGCTGTGTTACTTGGGGATCGGACGCGTCGCTGAGGCCGTGGATGTTTACCGCCGGGCAAAGTTGTATCGTGAAGCGTTGATGTTACTCCGGATCAGGCTTTGGGACGACGATGACGATGCCGATAACGATGGCGATACTGAAGGCGATGGATGGAACGAAGGCGACAGTGAAGACAGGAGCACGGACGATAAGCATAAACATGTGGTGCCATGGGACCCGGGGGCACTTCATATCCAAATCTTGACAGAGTGGGGCCGGGAGATGGAGCGACTGGGCCAGTATGAGAAGGCGTGCAAGTGTCAACTCACACTCGCATCGATCCTTGCAAGACGGATGCGACGGAATAGTGGGGACCAGTTGCCTTTGGAGAGTGCCAGCAAGCTAATTCAAGAAACACCCTCGGTGGGACTGCAGACGCTGGCGAGAAGAGGCGATGTTACGACGCTGCGGACAGTGGCTGGCCTCGCAATCCTACTCAGAGATCCGTCTTGCCAGGAGCGCATTTTACGATATGAGGCTGCCATTGCCCAAAAGAGGGAGGCCGATCGCGTCCGCAAGGGTCAACATCAAGCGCATCATTGATACAAACAGTAAACAGAATGGGTGAATTCAAGTTTTCTCAAAGTAAAGCTCTTCTTTTTTCTGTCCCGTCAGCGACTATATTAAATGAGAGCATCTATGTGACAAAAACAAACAAATAAATTATGCCTTGGTCGCTGGTTGCTCCTCGTTAACAGCCTTGCCGGCATCGCGCTCCTTGATCAAGCTGCGAAGGTCCTCCAATCGCTGCTCGATCTTAGGGATCTCAGCCAGCTTGTGCTCGAGCATCTGGCGCTCCTCTTGAAGGGCAAGACGGCGCTCAGCATCCAGCTTCGTGAACACGTATCCTCCTTGGCCATCGTATTGAAGAATGTACTAGGGCCGCCGATATAAATACGTATTAGTAAAAAAATCCGATTGAAGGTACGAAATAAATATCAACGAGCCTCAGCCAGAAGACTTACGTTGTGATACTGCCACAGGGATGGGCGGTGAGAGACGGTCAGCAGGGAGATTCCGAGCTCTATAGATGACAAGTAGAGATATAGAGCGAGGATAACAGACAGGGTCAGTAAACTGAACAAAGAACACCAAAGTACATCAGAACATCGCATCCAGCAAGCAGATAGGCACACGTACTCATGCAATGAGTGTACATAATCTTTTCGACTTCCATGCTGACAGCACTCGTGCACTCATCTAGAATGGCATAGCGAGGGCGGTGGTAATAGAGACGAGCCATAGCAATCTAAAATGTGGCAGCGAGAGTCAAAGCGAGAAGCGTGCATTGTCATAATTAGTATAAAGAAATTAGCGATCCATATAAAGCACACTGCAAGATGGATGGTATCAAAGACACAAATAATTACACGCTGCTTGTCTCCTCCAGAGAGAGCATCGCGCCATTCGCGCTCACGGTCCCAGCCACCCTCACGCTCGACAATGTTGTTAAGCTGGACGACTTCCAGGATTTCTTGAAGATCTTGATCGGTATAGCCGTTAGCTTTCATGTCCTCTACAGTGTCGGGGTAGATGATCTGGTCACGGAGGGTTCCGAGAGACAGATATGGACGCTGTGGAATATAGAAGATGTTCTTGGGGTGGGGGCGATGCACAGTGCCGCCTAAGTGTTTATCGCAGTTCATGATACCATGTAAAGGTTAGAGGCCTGCCAAAGGAGTGATAACAGGATCGATAAACAGGCTGAACACGACTAATGATCTTACCATAGACAGGCCAAAGGCCACCAAGAATGCGGAACAAACTACTCTTGCCGCATCCGTTGGGACCGACGATCAACAAGTGCATGCCGGGCTTGACATAGAAACTCAGCTTCTTGAGCAAGACATCTCCATTGGGCGAGACAATGGGGACGTCCATGAACTCGATCGTGTCGTCCTCGACAACATCGCCACGGCCAGAGAGAACCTTGGCGTTTTCTTCCGTGGAGGCCGACGAGACCAACCTCTTCTCGAATCGTCCGGCCTTAACGTCCTCAAAGACATCAAGCAGTTCCGATACACGGGCAGTGTAGCCAGCTAACTCTGTCACTTCCTTGTACGAGTACATGATACGACCGAATGCATCCGAGGAGCTCAACAACATGCGCCTGTTGGTGACGAAACCTACGAGGAGATAAAGTTAATATAGAAGAGTTTAGTATAGTGTAAATAAGGGCGACTTATCAAGGTAGAGAAAATGAAAACAAAGGAAGCAGTGCTACCTTCAGTTCGTCCTCCAATATCGGCTCCTCCACTCTGTCCAGGCAGCTTGAAGAACACAGGGATGGAGCAGATTACAAGACCCATAGCGCCCCAGAAGTACTTGATGATAAAGTCCTCGAGCATCCCATGCCAGACACGCATGCGGAAGATACGGTTGACATGCTTGATGAGCGCAAAATAGTTCCTGTCCAAGATGGCCTTTTCGATCTCGTGGCCGCCAAAGAGCGCAATTTCCTCTGCGTTTTCAATGACACGCGAGTGTGTGAAACGGAATTCACCCTCTAGACGTTGTTCCTCCGCGACCATCTTGCCGAAGGGAGGTGTCAACGCGCGCAGCACCAATGCTGAGGCATGAAGTAGAGCGCTGACGCCAAAAAGTCCCTCGCCTCCGACGCTTTTCGAGAGCTGTACGTTGTAAATGATGACATCCAGGATTGGCTTGGCCAGGTTGGAGTAGAGCTCAGAAAGAGATGTGCAGAACTTGTTGACATCGACTGTGATACATCTGGGATTGAAGAAATGTAAAACGAGGGCGCTAGTTAGTCCTAGTATCAAGGACGGCTATGGCTGCGGACATTGCTCAAAATGAAGAGCAACAAAAAGAAACATACTGGTCAGCGTTCTTGATGCGGTCATCTAGGTTACCGATCGCGTAGAAAGTCATGTCTGTGAGATATTGCTCGTGAATGTGGTTTGTGAGACGGGTGCGGAACTGGATTGCCAGTTTGCTCTGCATGTATGTCAACTGTGTTATTTATGGGTTCGTTATTGCGCAAGTATAGAATGCATAGCGAGGGAAAGAAGAATATAGTATCAGTATTATGGATCATAGGATAAAGGCGTTGGGTCAATTGAGAAGATACGGGCGTGCTTCTTGATCGCTTACCATGCTGTTAGTATATGTTGCGGGCACGGCCACGGTCATCCACCACAGGAGGCCAACCATGAAATCCTTGGCTTGCCCACGGACCAGTGCACTGACGATTCTGCCATCCAGGGCGGCAATGTAGACGGAAAGCATCGTTCTAAAGACTGTTGATCAAAAAAGGATACGAGACCAGATATATTAGTTGCCGGCAGGCAATTTTTTTGTCGTGCCCATGGGTTACACACGTGCGAGTAGACGACGTTGAGCAATCCTGCTCGGACCAGCAAATTGTCTTGGTCATCGCGATTCACGCAGAGCAGTATGCCGCCTTATAGACGAACATACAGATCCGGAAGGGTGACCGTGATTATGATACTGTGTAGCTGCTGTGTCGGTGCTCCTTGGCCAAACGCGCGTCCATGTATGTATGTGTCTACGTCCACCCATGACAGGTTAGAGAGGATGTTTCACGTACCAAGGAACCCAGAATGCACGACCAGCAACCAAAACTCCTTAGATCGCCATCCGGGGATGACCAGGCGCAGGATCCTCATGAAACGCTCAAAGAACACTCGGTCAACCTATGTCCGTAATCAGTATGCAGATATGGCTGAGTATGAAAAAGAGCGAAGGCGGGTTTGATGTGCAGACACGGTTTACTGGTCAAGTTGGTATTCAAGTTGGTGGCGGATAATGAGCCTTACAGCGACTTTGGCGCTCTTTCCGTCGCCCTTGGAGAGACCAGACTTTTTGGAGTCGCTCTTTTTGGGCTTGTGAGTGGCCATGCCATGGATGCGGAAGGCGAGGGTGGCGAGGATAGTGATCCAGATTGAGCGCTTGACGGTTGAGCGGTTGTTGGAGTAGGCCTTGACGACCTTGGCCAGAACCGTCCTGAAGGCGACGGGGTCAAAGACGGCCGAGGTGACCGCGGGTTTTGAAAAGATGCCCATGTGCCACAACCGGGATCAGACAGAGAAGTCTGAAGTTGAATGGGAGAAGAAGGAGGAGAGTGGAGAAAGAGGAGGTGAGATTGGAAGAAAGGATGGAGTGGGGTGAGGATGAGGATCTTTGGTGGCGGAGAGGGTGGGGGAGAAGAAAAGAGAAAGGAAGAGCGAAAAAGGGCAAGACCGTCCCTCGTGGGAGTTGATCACATCATATAGACAGAAGGAGCCTCCCTATGCGCACCCATCACAGCCATACGCACATAACATCCCCCTCTCCCTCTTCACTCCCCTCCTTCGCTGTCTGGTGGGTGTGTAGATATTCGCGCCACAAGCTGGTCCTGGTTTCCAGCTGCGACTATCACGTGTCAGATAGATGAAGCTACCTCTAGCTGCTGCAAGCGATGGGAGGCAGCGCCAGCACTGGTTCTAAGACCGGTCCAGGTGCTTGGTGCTACTGGCACCAATTACTTCTTGCACCAGTGCCAATGTCGCCAATGTCGCTGTTATTGAAGCTCTGCTCCTGCCCCTCTTTCTGTCGTTGCCTGTCCTCCCTTCTTCAGCCATTGCCCATGGAACACGGATTTTTCTTGTACTCTCAGGCGCTGAACCCTATTACAGATCGCAGTTTTTTTGTCATTCCCACATGCTAATTACACCTCCACAACCACGCACTCAACTCTAAAGCTCATATCGAATCTTCATATCTTATATCATCCACATCCATCTGCTTTAGTCTAGTCTACTGTTACTGTAGACTGCCCAATGCACCGCAACTTCATTCATCCGACTGCTGCAGCTGGTCCCTCCTCCTTCAGTTCCTTGTCAAAGTCTCTGTCATCCATATCGTCCTTGCCGTCATATCTATCCGTCTCCATGCCTCGTGTCGCTCGCCAGACATTGGAGCAAGCCTGCAGTGAGTTAGCCTGTGCGAACATGAACGGTACATACTCGGACAACTCCTGCAGTATCCTGAAACGCGTAGATTGGGATTTACGCAAGATTTCCTGAAGCGATATCTGGAGAGATTCGACCGCCTTGCTCTTCACTACTGCGTCCCCATCCTCGTCCCATAAGGCGGCAGCCTCTGCCAAGCCTTGAATACTTGACTGCAAGCGTGCAAGGACGACCTTATCAGCATGCTTCTTTCTAGAAACGAATCCAATTTTCTTGAGGACATAAGCCAACGAGCCCCGATAAGCCCCCGCCAAAAGGTCGCATTGTAGACTAGACCTGCTTCTGGCAGTCAGGGCATCAGAATCAATAAAGCCCTTGGACCCTTCAGGATCGCGCGACGCAAACGAAGATGTTGAAGGGAAGCCGCTCAACACGCAGCTGTACAACCTGTGCACCTTGAACTCCAGCTGCTGTAGTGGGCCAAGCGATGTCTTCATCACGCTGTAGGCACTCGAGGAAAGCACGTCCTTGATCATCTTGACCAGGATAGCTACTACCATCTCCAGCTGACGCAGTTCGACATCGGCCCTGTCCTCGAATGGTTTTTTCAAATGATCCTGAATCCTTTCAACATATTGCAATAGAGTCATCTGGACTATTTTAGCGCCCGTTGTTGGTTGATCCCACCATGTCCTAAGATTCTCTTCCGCGGCTCTAGTAGATCTGATGGCATCTTCCAAGAGCGGCTGACAACCTGCGTACATGGCAGCTAGAGTGTTCGTCGAATCCTGCCCCATCCCGATCCGGATGGAAGGGTCCTTTCCCCTCGTGGTCAATGCTAGATGACTGTAAATCAGTTGCTCAAAGTCCGATACGGACTCTTTACGCACCGCCATCCGCACAGCGCTCTTTTGTACATTCTCTTGGCATGCTTGAAGCACATCCCCTGCTCCGATCGCCAATCTCATCATGTTCGCCAAAGATGCTATGTCCTCGGACGAGTCCAAGTGCTCTAGCTGCTCTGTCAATTCTTGAGTACCTTGATGAGTCAGATAAGCGCCTGCGATCTGGAACTGTAACGACGACAGCGTTGTCTGCAACAAAGGTTTGTTCGTAGTCATGGATTCGGAATCGCCAGCAGCCGCGATACGAGCCTCGATCTTGAACTTGATTTGACCAAAGTAGACATCGTACAGCGTCTGCACAGCCTTGCAGCTTGGCCGCGGCTTGGAGGCCTTTAAGTCGAAAAAGGAGGATTCATTCTCGCATCTAACCAGGTCACCGGCGTGTCGGCGCAATATCTCTGCCTTTGCAATCACATTGAGAAGATAGGTTTGGACTGTTCGCTCAGGCAAGTACTGAGAGATGTGGTGGAAGCCGATCAAACCCGTCTCAAGTGTGCGCATCGCCGTCACCATCGATTGGTGGTCGTCAGCTCGGGATGGCATAATGAGAATCTTAGTTAGAGGTTCAAGCACGGGAGACTGGTCCGGATACGTTGCAAGGACATCATTTATCTCCCCCAGCAGGGCGAACGATGCATCCACTGCAGCATCGACGGAAACCGTGCAGTCGTATGGCTTTCCATCTTGAGATTTTCTGCTTGATGTGGCCTCGGAGTGACTTTGGAAGGTGGGTGTGTCGAATGCAGACTCGAGGTCCTCTAGGCGGACCTTTCCTCGGCCAGATGCCTCGGAGCATCGTAAACCTTGATCCCGCAGCGGCCTGACGCCAGAAGCCGAAAAAGAATACTCAAGCGATCCCGACAGAAGATCAACCGTTTGGGCTATTCACCGGGTTCGTAGCACAAATAAATAAATGAGCATTTTACAAAGGTACAAAACACTAAGCGCGACTTAGGACGCGTTTACATGTGGGTACATACCATTTTTGCAAAGGTTGGGTGCCGCCCAAGTTACTTGCGCAGCATTGTTATTAGGCCCTGCATTAACCAAACTCCAGTTAGCGGTATACAAGGAGCTGGCTGTGATGGCGACAACCACCAGTTGCGCAAGTCCTATCTTCGCTTGTTGTCTCTTCATTCGCAGGAATACGGTTTTGTTGCCTCCAGTTCGTTGAATCTCCGCTCTGAAAAGAAAGGACGTCTGCTGTGCTGTAACGGGGCCAAGACTCTGGTGGGTAAAAAGAAAGGCTGGTGATGACAGTCGATGAGATCGAATGAGAATCAAAGAATCCATTTGCTTTTCCATGCATCTTCATAAAAAGATATTGTCTCATTACTCCCCTGAATAGCTGCCCCTATTGGCTGCATTAGAGTCGATTCAGGGAGAAATAGCATCTCAAGCATTTCTGGGAGACACACATAGAGAGGAGACTTTATTCTTGTAATGGTTGCCGATATGCACCAGGGACGCAATTATTCCATGTCGTCCAAATCACCTGTATCAAGCACGCTTCGAATGTCGCGCAAGAGTGCCTTGGCATCTTCCTGGTGCTGCTCCGACGAGCATTGCATTGCCTCTGTAGCATAGTCCGACGCCGCTGTCAGGTTTCCCTTCTCACGTTCATACAATGCCAAAAAGATGCATGCCTCCGATGTGTCCTCCGATTCGCTCTAAGTAGCAAGCAGTAAAGAGTGGATTAAGACTGTAAGTGGTCGTGACAAGCAACAACCACAATATAGAAAAAGTGATGCACAGAATAACACACATAACAGACAAACGAACCTGTTCTTCCCGCAGCTGCTCCAGACTCTTTCGAAAGTAGTGCGCCGCTGCTTCTGTATCGCCAATCTTTTTGTACAGCTTCGGCAACTTCTTCAGAGCCATCTTCTCTTGGTCCGATCCTAGCAATGCTCTCGTGTAGCACTTGATGGCCGCCAGGTCCTGATCCAGATACTCGTAGCACTCGGCCATAGCACACCACATACGGCCGTCATAAGGTCGGATTGCCGTCGCTCTTTGATAGTAATTGAGGGCGTAATAATGCATCTTGAGCGCCTCATATGTCTGTCCTAATCCGTTCCATGCTCTGTAGTCCCGGTGATTATAATCTACATTCAAAAAATGAGTAAAAGCGATAGGCAACCGCTGCAAAAAAAAAAAAAAAAAAAAAAAAAAAGATATTCCTCACTTAGACGCAAACTGAGACATACCTACTGCCCTCCTATAGGACTCCACGGCGGCATAGGTATTCTTCATCTCCAAATACTCGTGTCCAAGCAGCGTCCATGCTGAGGCATAGCTCCTGTTGAACCGTAAAGCTCTCCTAAAGTATGTCACAGCCTTGTCGTGCTCGGCCTTCATGCTATAGTAGTTCCCAATGATGCAACACGTTTCTGGCCGGTAGTTATCCGTCATGGCGCAACTGTGGGCCAGGAAACTGAGACGTGCCCGATTATCTGTGACAAACAAAACGTTCGAGAAGACATCCAGACTGTCCAAGCGATGAGGATTCTCCTTGATCAGCTCCTCGAATGCCTTTGCCGCCTCTGGAAAATCTATTGTTTGAATGTGTAGGGTGTATGAGTCGACCTCTGGTAGCATATGAATTCTGTGAGGCGGGGGCCGTGGTGTAATACTGAATTATAGACAACTTCAGAGTCGTCCGTTACCTCTCGCATGATAGAGCGCTATTGCACGTTCACTCTTGACATAGGCGCTCTTGGGAAACGCTTCTGACAACTCTTGAAGCCACAATGCGCCATCTTCGTACTGATCACTAAATCGCTCCAGGGTGACATGAGACAGAAAGTAGGTCATCATGAAGCTGATCGGTAGCTCTGCTTTGATTTTCATGACCTGGAATGGCGAGGAATTTAATTGCATAAGATTTCTCAGGCCAAGTATATGACATTTCGATGTCCAAACCAAATGATCTTTTTGCCATATCGCCAGCAAACTTACAGCAGCATATGAGGGTAGACAGGAACCAAGGTCCAGCCATGCGCTCCAGTTGTACGGGTATTGGTTCACAGATTCCAATAAGACCACGACTGCAAGGCTCTTTCTTTGCTGTTTGATCAACACTACACCGTACCTGATGAATGATGCGAATGAGAGCAGTGAGTTTAAGAGTATCCCTAAGAATCCGTTAATGTTCCATGAATTTCTTCCGCTTACAGATATTTACAAAAAGCGTCGAGTGCGCCATCCTGGTAGCACTTAGACAGCTCCAAGGCAATCTTTTCGAGTTCCTTGTTGATCGCCATTCCGTTGTCTAACGGCCCTATTTCAATAAGAATACCCGTGATTAGACACTCGTGGATCTAAAATCATGTCGAAACATTATCTATACCCTGTAATGGTCCTAAGTCGTGAATGGAGCCTTACCCAATACTTCGAGGGTGTCCTGTTCCCGCTTTTTCTCTCCTACCTGCCAAAAACACATTTATGTAAGAATTCAGCCTCGAGAGTGCAGCAACCACGACACCATCAGGACAGTTGGTTTCGTCCACTTACAAGATACTTTGAGTAGAGTCTTAGGAACCGCGACTTATGACCGGTGCATCCTTCCAGGACGGACGCACACCGATCATACTCCTTCAGATCAAAGAATGTCTTGGCCATCAGGTACGCATCGAATTCCGTCAAATCAATGTCACTCGATGCCATGCTTGAGCTCAGACAGAGATCTTGAGCATATGCGGAGACGTATTCGCGCGACCCTTTGTCCTTTGAAGCTGAACTACTTAGAGATGGAAGACCATTAAGAGCCTCGGCTGCCCTGAGAAGGAACGAGGTGACAGGCATCAGAAATCCGTGGTAAGTCAGTGTGGAGAGTACTTCGCATCAAATGCGTACAGCTTCATAGATGAGATCTCTTATTCATTGCCGCTGTACGTCCGGTACTTACCAGCGCGCTGCAAAGTACAATCCGCGCTCGTTGCAGGCCTGGACGGCTTCGCGGAGGTTGCCTTTTGCCTCTATGGTGTCTTCAGCCCAGGTGGTCGTTGCTGATGCAGCATCCATGGGCGAATGGTCGGCTTCCTGGCAAGTTGGGGCTCCGTGACTGATGAGCTCTGCTGATTCCGCTGTGGAATCCTTGAAGGGCGTGAGTGTGCTCGGTTAATTCGACCACTCTGCTTCTACCTGTTGCACAGGATCAGGGCTTAAGCCAAAAGCCACCCCTGGAGCAACCCCTGGCATCGACTTCGCCTTTCGCCTTCTCCATTCACATCTCTAACACGCGTAGACTCATCAGCCCAGGAGGTCATCCAATAACCACCATTGCTATCTGCGCCAAGAGTCTTGCTAGCGACTACCATCCGAGCCGTCATCATACAGACGCACAAGGCACCGAATATTAAAAAGGCAGTGTTCCACAGACACACTTGAATAGGACCCAGGACCACCATTCTCAACTCGTAGTTACACTATGGATCCTTGGACCGCAAGCACTGCGGCCAATGGCGAGACAGAGGGTTTGGCTGCCGCTGATCTCACCTATTTAGCATACTCATTGGCAAGTTCTACGTCTTTATCAAGCATGACAATCTCTTCAAAGAAGTATCAGAAAACAATTGAGTCTGCGATATCGTTCGCATTGAAGGCTAATGGCTTCCATTCCATTGTTATCCTTTTCTAGACCCGGATCAGGCCTATCGTACCCGATGTTTTTGTTGTTCAGAGGATCAAGGATATACGGCGAATCAAGGGACTGGAGTTGGACGTCGTTCTACTACAGTTTTGGCTTGCTGGGCTTACAGGATTGGCTGAGTCGAATTCATCAAGCCAACGCCTCATCTGGAAGAGTTTGCTGCTAGTGAAAGTAGGTACCCTTCTCACGAGAAGCAAGAAAACCCCATGCCTCTAGGGGATCAGTCGCATACAATGCAATATGGAGCTCACACGCCCTTGCCTTCACACCTAATAGATCCCAAGTATTATGTCGCAGCTGTGTTTCGATCAAGAAGAAGTAAGATGACAGGATTTCTTAAGCCTTGTTCAGGATGCATCCATGGCGGCCAATTAATGGAGCTCATTCTATCCTCAGATATACCGTTATGTAGAGTCAGCGTTACGACAACTGTCCTTTTACCGAGGAATATTGAACGAGTGCGACGAGAGTGTAGAGGACGGCACAGCCGACAGGGTCAATATCTTAAAGGCAATTGCAATTGGATGCCAAACAAAGGGACTGGTCAGACCAAACCAGCTTGATATCCTCAATGACGTTTCACCCTCGCAGGACAGCTCCAACAATTACAAGTTCATAGACTCGTCGTCATTGGAGACAATTGACGATCTGTGCGGGCGGACATTGAGTGATTTTGAGCACCAAGAAAAGCTTGTCGATCGAATTATCCAGGTAATTGTTGTTCTGGGGCCATATCATCTGTTGGCCGATATTAAATGCAACAAATTGATCGAAGGAAGCTTTTGTATCCATACCTAGGTTTGCGAGAATGCATGTACAAAGATGGATGTGTTTGTGCTCTCCAAACTCTGCCAAACACTCGACGATAATCCAATGGTGTTGGATCTTATCCATCTCTTGCGATCTCCATCCGCACTGTTGAATCCTCTGGAGAGGTTCGTCAACAATCTTCAGCAAAACGAGGACAACGATATCGGTAAGGTACATGGCCGGCAACAGTCAAACGAAAGATGCAAAGACTATAGAGCTGACTATTCTGACAACCTTAATTATGTCTCTGATAGATACCTGCAACTCAAATCTGGAGGGCTTTGGAATTGTGCTGATCCTGATCTTGACAATCATTCGCAGATACGAACTCGCCGGGTGCTTGGACTCTGTGCTAAGGGAGCAGAATAGGTTCTGCTATCTCTGGCTTCACCGTACCTCAGCCACGATACCAACCATATCGATACAGTCCATGGATTCGGACATGCACGCCCTAATGGGGCGATGGATCACAGCTCTGTTCGACAGCATGGGAATATCAGATGGCCTTATTCAGTACGTAGGCAATTGTCATTCGCCGCTGTTGCGTCCTGGGAGTTTCAGGATAGAGTCGACTCGAACTGAACATTCATATTTGATACACTGTAGGACGTCCAAACCGCAGATGCTTCTAGAGATATCACCTTCCATCTTTGAGCAATCCCTGGCGGCATGTCAGGCAGGCGTGATTGACGCTACGACTCTAAATAGCGGTCTCGACTACTTTTTGCAGCCGTGTCTGCTCTTCGTCTTGATCGGTGTTGTGCAATATCTTTGCGAAGAGATTTTATTTTCAACACCCTCATCCTTCCCATCGACCAACGCTACATCCAATTTACCTGGTTCTGTACCTGGGCAGTCCATGCTCTCCCCTATAGGCCATGCCATCTCGCCACTTGCGTCGCGGGGCGCAAAACCTCCACAACACATGAATACCTCGACTACTTCCCACGGCCAAGGGTCAGGAAAGAGCGTGGCGTCGGTAGCGATGCTGCAATCATGTTTGAAGTCGCTTCTTGCTGGAGAAGCATTTCCTCTACGATTGATGCGGCTACTAAAGAGTGAGGTCTTGGCGGTACTAGAACATCAAACCATAGAGAATGACCATCAAATGGTGATTATCCAGGAGCGCCTGGCAGCGGCTTCGGCGAATTATTATCGTACGTACAATTTCAAATTTCTTAAGGCTCTTTTTTTTAAAAAAAAAATTTGGTACTCACTCAGCGCTGTTTCCCCTTTTCTAGCCTGGTCTGTATCGGAAGCATATGATGTACCAAAGCTGGCACAGCAGACTTCATTGGCGTACGAGGCCATCGTGTCGGGAGGAAGGACATCTTTGATAGCAAGGAGAGAGAAAGGTTGGCATGTGTTTGGTGGATCATGTTACCATATCGATGTGGATCTCTTCCGGACAACATTGTGCTATCTTGGACCTGCACAATTCGTAACAACCATCTTGAAGCAACTTTTAAAAGCTGCCCGCACTCCACATGGCAGACGCGCAGGTAAAGCGAATATGCGACATGTTTATAAATGAATACGTATGCGGTCTTAAAGAGCGTATGGCACTCATACTAACATGAGTCTATATTGCCATTTGGAAATCAGTTGAACTAGGTGCCGCTATGATATCAACGCCTCTCGTGGGCTGTGGAGACGAGCACCTTGCCCCTCAAAGCTTGCTTTGGACACTCATATACCAGACGCTGTGGATCCCCGTCCCTGGAAGACTTGAAACATTTTCGCAGGGCAAATTGTTGGCTGAATTCGTTGGCATGACCCTGGATCTCTTCCAGAGTCGCACGTTGATTCAGTTGCGTCAAAACCAGCTACAGAAAGGGACAACACGTGCCTCGAAGGATACAATGGATATTGATATGGTTGGGCCACAAGCAGGTAGCTTCAAGTGCAGTAACGGGAGCGGAACGACAACTCTTTCACACGATCAACTGGAAAGAGACGCCGCGGTAGAGCCGTTCAGAGTGATGCTGGACCAGCGACTGAGGGCTCTGGAGCCGATTACGCGGGATCGACCTGGGTTCGAGGGATTTGCGCAGGGGATGCGTCAGTACAGACAGCGCCATCCACCTCTCACGCTACCTTTGCACCAGCCCAAGAAGGCACGCCGTGCGTGAACGGAGTCCAGATAAGATAATGACTAGCCTACTTTTCTGTGTTCTGCCCTGGGCATTAAAAGCCAAGCGTTGAGGATCAATAAAACAATGCTCTCGTAAGGGGACAGATACCTTATACGAAATACAAGAAAGCATGGCATCTCTCTCTCATTTTTTTTCTCCCACTGTCTCTTTCAACCTTTCTTTTCCCTTTTATCTCCGCACCTCGCGGGCCATCAATGTTCCGCAGGCCATAGATAATTCATCAATCAGAATAAGAAAGATGGTGAGTTGAGGGATGCACATCCGTCTGGATGCCACTTTGCTGTTTGCTTCGTATACTTTTTCTTTTTTTTTGCGCCTTTTGCGGTCTATTATTGAGAGTACTGAGGGCATTAGGCCGTGTACTCCAATGTTGATTTGTCGACACCAAAGGCGCATCTTCTCCATCGTTGTTTATTTTCCCCCCTGAAGCGCTCTCATGCATGCAATTGCTCCCATGCGCCCTCGGCCCTGTTCAAAAAAGGATATTCTTTTCCGAGGTATTTATTTGTTTAGTTTAATCTTTTTTTTTGTCCGAAATCACGAAATCAGAGGGCACAAGAAAATCGAGGAAGACCAAGCGAGGAGGAGAGGAAAAAGCAATAAGGCGGTGTTATTACTCACTGATCTGGCCGATAGATGAAGGTGCATGAAGGAGGGTCAGGAGCTGAGAACCATCCATTTCAACCTCAATATAGTTATGAAATGCCGAGAACGGTGGAGATGGACAAGGAACCCATCGCGCATAGGATGGTACTAAACCACACATACGCGCTTACAGGCTGGGCCATGACCCTCCACGCGCCTTTTTTCAATCCCCGTGTTTTTTATGACATCTTGGCTCTTGGCGCTCCGATAACATTGCAAAAGATACATCTTTACATCAGACGATGGGTGTTGTTTGAACATTGCCTTATGCCTTTTTTCTTTTTATTTATTCAACATGGGTAATATGCAGCACTGCTATTTTATTGGTTCCTTAGTCCTTGTGGTGGAGCAAGTTCTGGTCCCAGAGGTACACTGTGTATTGAAAGCACAAGGGAAAAAAGTAAGAAAAGACAAACATCTATTAGTTTCTGTTGCACTACAGTGAAATTGTTTACAGCATCATTAGAGAAAAACAGATGAAAGTAACATTTACATCCAAGACCGTCGCCGCCAACGCGGTTCAGTTGGGTGACGAGATCTGCAATCTTCTTGATGGCTTCAACCTGCTCCTCGAGGTACTCCGACTCGATAAAGTCGCAGAGCTGAGGATCATTGTTCTCCTCGGCGACCTTGTGCAGGTTGAGCAAACTCTTGTTGACATCTATATGGTGTTTAAAAAAAAACATGGCGACATTGTGTCATTGTGGTCAGAATCGATTAATTGAGTTGCGCTTTGACAATCGAAAAGCGCCAAAAAGAAATGCTTTCAATTGCGACGCGATGCATGTACGCTGTTTATACGCCCACTGTTTCTTGGGCCTACTGAGCCCATTCAGGGGCAGGAACAGGATTTCCGATAAGAAAAAGTACGTGGACATCAAACGTTACCTTTCTCAAGCTGGAGGGTCGACTCAATGGCATTGCGAGCAGAGGACCAGTCGGACTCGGGGGCCTGGAGGGTCTGGAGGATGACCTTGCCTCCACGGCGATTCTGGTAATTGATCAGCTTCTGAGCGTGCTCGCGCTCCTCTTCAGCGCTCTCGCGGAAGAATTTCTCGAGGCCGGGAAGGGCCTGGTTGACATGGCCGGCCCATGCAGAGAGTGACAGGTAGACCTGGGAAGCCTGGAGCTCCTGGCTAATCTGTTGTTGTAAACCGGGAAGCCGTTAAAAGTTAGCAAAAGCGAGGGTCCACCTTCTTCTCTTCCTCATTCATATATCTACGATATAAATGGCGTCGTCTTCGTCGTTCTTCTCTGTATCGAGCCCGTCTCTCGATGTCCCGCAGGCGTCGTTGCTCCTCCTGCTGTTGCTTCTCCTGCTGCCGCTCCTCTTCCAGCTGCCGCTGTCGGTCACTCTCTTGCTGTTCTGCCCGCCGCCGCTCCTCTTCCAATTGTCGCTGTTGTTCCCGTGTTTGCTGTTCTGCCTGCTGCATTTGTTGCCGAAGGTGCCTCTGCCCCTTCATGGTATTCAGGGTAGGCAAGAGTTTTGTGCAAATAAGGAAAAATGACGTGCAAATAGAGAGCGGTGGCTGTGTGCAACACAATAATACTATTGAACGCGACAAGGTACCGAGCCCCGAAAATAGCTCAGTTGGTAGAGCGGGAGACTGTAGTTCGTATGTCATCTCTAGGTCCCTGGTTCAAATCCGGGTTTTCGGATCCTTTTGCCTCTAATCCGATCAGGGGATCGCCTGCATGGCACATCAATGTGTATCGGGACAATCTATTTGGGAAGAATATAATCTCACGGGGGGGTGAGATTTTATTCTTACACCCCCCGTGAGAGCTCTAATCTTACACCCTGTTATTTTATGGCGAACCAAAGATAATCTCACGGGCATACAAAAGCATAATAGACGCATTTAGATTAATACCTGGGTTTCTCAGTGCTTAAGCACCTGACACCCCGTTATCGTCGCCCAGGTGTGTCAAGAGGGCAAACTTCAGTACATCTCTCTCTCTACCAGTGCCCACTTTTGTACACCTCTCTTTCTATACCAGCCCGCACTTTTTTTCCTTCTGCCCCGACCACGCGCCATCGTACCCAATACGTAATTGTTAATAGATTGCTCTTGCTCCTAGTCCCATCACCTCAATTCGTTTAAGGATCCGGATCTTTTTAGCCATCGCTTCCTTGATATAGGCTGTAGTTCAGCTCCGTTCTCTGATACCAGGTGTGTTACACTCTTGACACACTCGGGCGACGCACTAAATTGCTGATTACCAGTAGTGCGGTGATAACGGGGTGTCATACTAGGTCTACATGTAGATTCACATATCGGTTTCCTTATCGCTGGAGAACCTACCCCTTTGTCCAGTCCAATATGAGGCAGGATTGAGCCAGATTCCACTCCGAAGCTGAATGACGAGGTGCCATGGAAAAGAGAAAACAGACAGTCGTTTGTGATCATATTGGAGTAGTACTTTACGACTCAAAATCACTATCGTGGATCTTTGCAAAGGTTTAATGCTAGATTTAGTATGCTATGGTGTCGACAGTGCTTCGCCCAGTTTCTACAATATTTCAATGCACTGTTGACACCGATGCAACTAGTATATAACCCCTATCTACGCATAGAACTAGATAGCAGCATTCGCCCAATAAAATACCCTTTTCACCCTAGATCCTTCGACACCTCAGATACTCCAATCGTTTGCAAGCATGCCGACGCGTAGGGAGTTACCTAGCTTTCACTATCGTGGAAAATGATAAGCAAGGCAAGACCATGCGCTTTCCCGTCTCTACATCTGCACAATTTTATATCGTTCTACACTCGCTCCACCAAACCGCCATTTTTATTTTACTTATTTTCAGTTGGAGACATACGACTAGGGGATTTGAATGTACCAAAGTGAGGGGCCTTAGAGCGCGTTCTTTTTCTACTTGTAGAAACCGGACTGGAAGGTCCGGTGCCAGAAGCAGAAGCAGAAGCAGCTTGCATAGCTTGCCCCTGCCCTTGACCTGCTGCAATCTGAGCAATAGAGCTCAGGACCCGTTGCTCCATAGCTGTGATTAGCGTGCGCTGTTCCTCTTAAAACGCCATGATTTGCATGCGCTGTACATGTTGCTGTTGAGTATTTGCAATGTCCGAGCCCCGCATGAACTCTCGGATAGTTGCACCAACCACTCTTCCTGAATCAAATGTCATTGAAGTAGCCGAAATGACGTTATTGTTGAATATGAGTGCATTGCTGCCGCTAAACGCCTCATCGCCTTTGTGGTTCTTCTCATCAATCTCGTCATCAGATGTACCTGAGGCATTGGCGACCTCCAAATCATCAGGGAGAACTTGAACGCTGTCAATAAGTTGAAGCCCTGGAACGTTAATCGGGATGTTGGAATGGCGCAGACCCACTTGTAATGCTTGCTCAGGCTATCTCTTGTCAGGAATGGCTTTCTGCAAACGTAGATGAAATCCATGCTTCTATCCTCGCGCCTTTCAAATCGGACGAACACATTTAAAAGGACGTTTC